CCATATCCCAGTGGGTGAAGAACGGCTCTTCGGCAAAGTTTGGCATGACTTTAGTTTAACGTGGAAAACCGATGTCAGGAATCACGTTCCATGCCCGTTCTAGACATACATTCAATTGCACTGTCCAGGCTCCCTTGGCTATTATCACCTTTCATGGCTACTCATCTTCCAGTACCATCAACTTTCATTCCCCTAAACTTTATCCCCTAGTTGACTACTCAATCCTGATCCACTAATTAAGACTTTGGAAAGCCTTAATCTTTACTATTAATCCGGCTGCGCCAGAGTTCAAGGGAGAATTGTATGGACGTCCTTCTAATTTGCCTAGAGTATAAGAAAAGGAATGGCAGGCGTTTGGGGGCAAACAGGATAGGGAATGTGGAGCACCTCCCCTTGGAGGCGATGGATTCGGTCTCCTGTTGCAGTTGTTGTAGAGGGGGAAGAAACCATAAGAAACTGCTAGCGCTTCTTCGCTGCGAACTGAGAGTTGATATCCTTGCTGCGGAGCTCCTCAATTTTGGCAGTTGGGCGAACCCCGTTATTCACACAGAGACGGTTGTTGTTAGTAAATCTTCGATGCCTCGTTTTGTTAGAAGTTGGAGGCTTTTTCCGTACTTTCAGAAGCGATGAAGAACTCTCTGAAGAGTGCTTTTTCCTAGATGCTGATGAGTTGTGCTGGAGTATCACAGCATTCTATCAACTCGATATCCAGGGTCACTTCTTCCTCTACGGATTCTGATAATAAGTTTTAAGTGATGAAGCAGAGGATCTGATGTATTTCCTGACGTTGATGGTAGGACCAGAGGTTAAAACTGACGTTATTGTGCCAACTTTTGCCACTCCTGTCATTCTTGGAAGGGGTGAGGTGCGCCAATACTGTAACAATGTAATAGTATCGGCATGTATCTCCTCCACCCATGCTGTGATACTCTTTAAACGAGTAGAATAATTCCATTGGCGCATTCCTAACTGATAATATTATGAAAGGGAAAGGGGAGTCGGGATCAGGCCTGTTCCTCAGAGTGTAGGCAAGTTCCATTCCGTTTTAGAATTTGTGTTCCTTGAACGCTTCTTGCCCAAAACGCGCATTCAGACAAGTATGAATCACCATACAACGTCTGACTTCGATGCACTCTCTCTCTCCGGCAAACCATGCCTTATATACATTCCGAGAAGATGCTCAGTTGCCACCTTCAATAGTTGCCTTGACAGCTTGGTCACCTAACAGACACACATCGGGCTCAATCAGTTGAAGTACCATGATTTTTTATCTACTATGCCTTACCTTAGGTGCGGGTGGCTAAAAACCGAAAATAGCCCTCTTTTTAAGAAAGCGTACTGAGTTATCTCCAACCTAATGGTCTTCAACGCATTTGTCCCACTTTACCGCATCTCGTGTTTCATCAAATTACAGGATCGTACACAAATTCCTTTGAGAACATGGGCTAGGTATGGGCTGTGAAACTAATTCTTGAATTAGAAAACATCTGGGGGAAAAGGAGGAAAATTTGGCACATGGACGTAACTTTACACTGACATTTTTACCCCTCCAGGATGATTTAAAGACCGGTTTAGCAATCCGAGTGACTTGTTAAAAGAAGGATTCGCGTTGGGCACTTGCATGGGGAAATGGAATGGAAGAGTTGCCTGTTATTGGCGAATTGTCCGTAGGTCCGATGCTAGCAATTAACCATAATTCTTATTATTAAGGTGTGGAGAAGTCGGTGGATGATACATTGCAACAATAACCGAAACAGACTTGACAATGTACGAGCATTGCCTCACCCGGTCAGAAAGTCATCAGCGGACTCGTCCAGAGTGCGGCCACCTTTGGAGAATTGAAACAAATATCTTATTGTCATGATGTCTTCCATTTACACTTGATTTGACACTGGAGTAAACACAATCTAGTCCACCATTTCACTGTTTGTCATTGGCTGCCACAGGGTAATGTACGGTGAGGGGACTCATATAAAAGGTCCCGGTTGACCGCCGTGACAGACCCAAGCTCAACCCTCGTATCTGCGCTA